CATGGACCTCAGAATAAACTTACAAAGATTTTAGAGGTGTAGTGGAGTCAAAACGATCACGTTTTCCAATGAATATAATAGTGAGAAATTTCGAAATTCGAAGTCATGTGACATTTGATTCAGATGTAAAGCAAGTTATCCAAAGTAGGTCCTGCTAAGGAGATCTTGTTAAAAAAAATGAGTATATGGGTTTGCCTAAGTCAGGGGCATATATAATGCGGAACTCCGTAATTTCTCATTTATTTCTTGGCAAAACGTGATCATTTTCGAACCCTCTACATGCCCTAAAAGATCCTAATATTTGTTATGAGATACCCTGTACAATTGTGAGGGATATTTATATATTTTTGAAAATTCTGTATTTTCCAAAGGGGCGCATGGCCGGGCATCCTGAGCGGAGCATCGGCGCCGGGTCCGTGGGGACGGCGCGGCGCGGAGCGCGGGGCGGTGGCTGCTGGGCCGGAGCGCGCGGGGAGGCTGGTGGGCAGGGGCGGGGCAGCCACGGCGGGCGCTGACGCGAGCAGCCGCCCTGCAGGGGGGCGGGGGCGGGGGCGGGGCGGGGAATCGCCCGCATGCGGCGAGGGCTGCGCCTGCGGCGGGGGCGGCAGTTTCCGGGCCCGCCGCCTGAGTGAAGGCGATAAGCGGGCGGGAGGGCGGGGGGACGGGCGCCGGCGGGATAAGAAGCGAAGCGAAAGGGGGACGGCGGAGGGCGACGGCGGCACAGAGAGCTCCGTTGTGCGGGCGGCGGGCGCGCACCCGCCACAGCCTGCGCGACCGTATCGCCCCAGAAACCGTCCCCCGCCTCCACCACCGAGGGAAAAAACGCCGCCACTGCGGATGCATGAGCAAGCGCGCTCCACGGGGCGGCTGCGGGGGCGGGGCGGGGAGGGCGGGGCGGCGAGGGAGCCGGCGCCCGGCCCGCAGCGTGGAAATTGGGGGGAAACACCCGCAGAGAAGTGAAAGCGAAAAATGCGAGTGGCGCGTGCGTTGCCTCAGGAAGGGGTGAGGAACGAACGGCGAGAGAGGCGTGAAAGGTTAGAAAGAGAGGAGAGGAAAAGAGGAGGCAAAGGAAGACGGAAAGTGAACCAGGAAGACGACACAGTAAGAGGGAAGGATTGGGAGATAAGAAATAGGTAGTAGATATACAGAGATAGACACTGTGAGTGGAAAGTCTAAAAAAAGTGATAAAAGGGGAAGCGGAAGAGAAAACAGAAAAAAAGATAATGGATGATAACAACGAATAAGAGAGCGAAGGAAGGTTTCGAGAAAATGGAGGGAGGATAAGAATGGGGGAGGCGGGCACCCGAAAAGGGTGACATCGGAGGAGATAAAGGTGCTGGAGAAGGAGAGAGGCTGGAAGAGATGAAGGATGAGAGTGATAAATAGGGAAAAGAGCGATATCATGGATAAATAGGATGGAATGCGTTGAGACATTGGGAGGGAACAGAAAGATTGTGAAGTTCGGCATACAAGATTGGGCAGCGTGACAGGGCAGGAGTGGCAAGATTGTGTAACTTGGGAACGTAGAGGAGATTTATTCAAAAAGCATTTGGAAAGATACTGCATAATTTGAGTACGAGATAAGTTCAAACTATCTGCTGGAAAGGGAGTCGTAACGGTATGGGAACGACTTTCTATTGCACACATCCGTTCGAACCTTCCGTAATACATTCATATTTGCAGAGTGTCCTTTACACATTGTCTCTAGTTTTATCTCTCGAAGAACACAGTAATACAAAAGACATTTTACACATTATCCGAACATGAGAAAAGTAGTTTCTTGACTCATCACCTGAACACTATACTACCTCACTAGTTAACCACTTCTCTGTTGATTCCAGTCTCGCGTAAGAAATACATGTTTGCATCACGTTATTATACCATGATTCGCTTCTCATACCACCACATGCCATTTCTAAACCATCCCCTCATTCGTAATTTTTTATATCTAATCATAATTCACACATTTTATCACTCATTCAATCGGTCATAATGGCAAACCATTAATGGGATCATCCTCCCAAAAAATGGAGGGCAAATGGTGTAACACTGGAGATCAAAGCATGGAATTCATCATTATACACACTTACCCCAAATACTATCAATCGTAACCCACACATCCTACATCTTCCCTACTTAAAGCACATGAACCCCCGAACACTGTTGTAGCTCCAAAACACAGCCGACGCGATGGATATCACTAATTAGTTCACGCACTACCTGGCAAAGCTCTAATAAAATCTTGAACTATTGAAACGCACGCGCTGCAGTGGCGTGGCAGACATTATGACAGAACCTTTATCCGGGGCGGCTGGTCGTAAGGGGTGACTGAGGCCGGGCCCACATATTTAATAAATGCCCAAAAATATTTATTTATCTTTACAGTAATCTATGTGTGATAATTGTAGTAATTTATTGGAATTGCTTATTGGCGAAGATCTACAATTCGTCCCCAGAACTCATTCCAAGTCCTAATAACCAAGATTGGGGGCCATAGTTACTTGTCACACTCGAAAGTAGCGTTAGAAGTGCTCAAGGGGCCCGGCCTGCGAGGGCCCCACAGCGGTAACTCCAATCTATTCACAAGGCCTGCGCCCTTTGGAGAAGGGCGCAACCACTTCTTTAGACTTATCGTTACTGGGCAATCTGGATAGTGTGTCAGTTGATAATTTTAACAATTCCTTTTACCAACTTCCAAACTGTTCCAAAATCATATTCCACAATTCCAAACTTCAATAATCGTGCAATCGGAAGGTTTGGAAGACATTCTACATCAAACATCCTACAAAGGAACAGGAGTGCCCAACTTTTGTACAAGTAAGTCACATGTGGAGAACTTAGATTCTCGAATGCAGGCTTCCCCTTCCGAACTCTTAGCATTCCGAAATATAAGCGATGGCATTAGCTTAATTTTTATAAAAATCGTTGGTTTCCGTTGGCATACCAATATTTGGTGAAACGACTTATCAAAAAAATCTTTTGTTTTTGTTTGGCAAACTTAAAGATTTAAGTGTTTAATTAATAGATAAATAATATTACTAATTAAATGAAAATGCTTTCATTAAATATGTTATGGATTCTGAAATGATATTCGTGTTTTTGTATCTGGCCCCATCAGGTAAGAGCCGCCACTGCTTTGATCACTGTCGCTGGCAGATTAGCAGGGTCCCGTCGGAGCACGAGGTTCTCCAAGACGCGCATCGGCACGAGCGGAATGGCATGAACCTGTGCTATCCCTTCATCTTGTCCTATTACTTCCCAGTCATCAACCTGCCCCATTTTCAACTCTGTCAATTACGTTTTGGTCAAAAAAGATTCCTTTCGCACAGTAACGTGTAACCTATATTAAATTAGCACACAGTTTTAATCGAGGATGGAGTTCGTGTGTCTCGGTTTACAGCCAGTTGTTTTAACAGTGGGCTATCGCGACGACAGAGGTTATGAAACACACTGGCAATAAATTTGACCAAGATACCGTCGAGTTGAATTGAAGACCAAGGCACTATTTAGTAAACAGCACATCTGGGTTCGATTATCAGTCGAATGACTGGTGGTTTTAACAATACTCGAACCACTTCCATTCCCGAAATTCACAAGGTACGGTCTAGAAGATTTCTATCATAAAAATGATTAAATTAAGAACAGAAATATTATTTTTTTTAAAAAACTCCATAAAAATTCCAGATAAAGAACACACTGGTCAAACGACGAAAGTTCTTTAAATGCTAATTCAACGATAATGATAATGGAATGATCAGTATAGGGTTGTAGCATAAAAAATAAAATACAATTATCGTACATCACAAAAAAGACAAATTGACTCAAATTAGAAAGACAATGTTTTAACAAAATTTAACATAAAAGCTGTGCGGAAAATGTAGAAAATCTCGAAGGTGTCTCATGAAATGTTTTCATATTTAAAGACTCACAATTCTGAATTAATCAGGTATCGTTCGGAAATAAAATGAAAACCAACTAACGATAAACTAGGCTGCTTTGTATGAAGCAGCCTATGTTAAAAAGAAATGTTATAATAATTTGCATTGGACTCATTACTTCTTAAAGACTGTCGCATTAGTACCAAAATAACTTCACAATTACTTATCAAAATAAGTTGATATAAGAAAGGGAAACACACTATGTCGACGGAGCAAAAGGAAATAACACCAATTTCAAAATAACTTTGCCAGAATCTCTTGTTAATTCGCATTTTTAAACTTTGCGTTGTTACACATATAATTTATTTTTCAGCGAAAACAAAAATTTTAAGAAATGATCTTCAGGTACCTTTTCTACGGTAAATGCTTTCTATAACAAGATAATCTATTTGAATTCGAAAAATTGCATAAATAATTTATGAAGAGCGTCTCACAGTTTAACACAAAAACCACACAAAATTGATACCTGAGGTTCAAATTAACCTATATAATTACAAGGAAGATACTATTAGTAATGATAAAACTGGTCAAAGAAACTGAAAATCAAATAACTAAGTCTTGAAGAACGATGTAAATATTTATACCCACGACTTCATATTCAGATTCTCGCAGAGTACAAGAAAAAGGAAAACGTGGATGTCACCAAGCTCAGTACGTGACGGAGATTTCGCAGGGAGTGCTGGATTCCGTTCAATCTTCTTACAAGCTCAGCACGTGACGACCTTCACGCACTATCTTTGCAACACGAATATAAAGGTGTCGAGGCGAACAACAGGTATGCTCTTGGTCCCAGACAATAACAGTCTCCACTCCTCCGTTGCTGCCAAAAATGGGGTTCGTTGCACACGCAAGTAAGTCACTTCACCCTTTCACGTGCTACTCAGGGGTAATGCTTCTACTGTATCACGTGCTAACAAGGGCAAACACGACTGCAGTCAGACGATGCTACTTCACTGAAAATACCCCAGAAAGATATGTAATGCATTCGGGGGAGACTATTTCTTTTTCAGCATGATATATACACGAAATACAGTACGAATATTACTCGTTGCTCTTCCACAGGCACTGTGTTCCTGACAGCGGTGATCCTGCATAGCTTGAGCATGGGCCAAGGAGACGTGATTCGGTCTTGCGACTTGGAGGTGATTAAGCCTGGTAATCAACCGTGCCAAGAGATCTGCCCCGCAATCTACGATCCCGTGTGTGTGGTGGGACTACACACGTGGCCCAAAACGTATCCCAACCGATGCGAAGCTTCATACTTCGCGTGCGATGAGCGCGAAGGTGCGTTACCTTTACGTATTACTGTCTTACTATTCTCCACACACCAAGCCATTAAACTGAAACAGTTAAAAAAGTGTATAGCACAGTGTATGAGAAATGTTGACTATAGATTAGGAGTAGTGCTTTCAAAACAATTGAAATTCCTGGGTACCCGTAAACGAAAAATTATCAAGTAATACTAACGTATTATTAATTGATAAATAAATAAAAAAAAAGGTATGTATGATTCTAAATCGTAATTAAGTATAAAAACAGTCTCCGATAAATTTTACCTTTTTTATATTATAGCATAGTGAAGCATTGGAAGAATGCAGTGAGTACGTAATACAATAGTACAACAGGACAAAATGGAAATATTAAAAACCCGTGAAAAGTGTAAGAATCATTTTGCGTCTTTGTTACAGTCCTTTGGGTGATTCGCAACGGGCCATGTCCCTGCAAAAGCCGCGTTCATTTCCTCCATCACTGAAGAACTTGAATTCATCACCATGAGATATAGCGATGAAGAAATTCTACTTTTTGTGGGAGTATTGTATAACACTGACCATGACTCTGATATTGATAATAAAATATTTTTTAAATAAAATGTCTTATCGTTTTCCATCATCACAATAAAAAACAAAAGGACATAAACATATTAATCCCTAACTATCCATGAAATCTCATTTTCTCAATGATCTCTTCCTGCATTTATTCCTCTACAATGTAGTTCCACACAATAACTTATGATTTGGCGACCCATAAAAGTTCAATGATCAACTTCACACTTTTTATGATTTAGTAACAGCGATACTACTGTAAAAGATCGTTCAGATCTAAAAAATCAGCCTTACAAATGTTCTCCTTCAGAATGGAATCTTCAAACACAAACAAGAGACTTTATTTCACCCGAAATATGTGTTTTCAATATCTGTGACGGATATTTTTTAAATTTACAGAGACAATAATCACGCCAGCATCGTCAAATCAAAATGTTTGCGTTTTTAAACAGAGAAATTGTTTTTTTCACGGAACACAAGATTTTACGAAATGATACTCGGGTACCTATTTTATGGAAAATAATGGCAAAACGTTTACTATAATACGATAATTTATGTTACGTCGAAAAAATGCATAAATAATTTATGAAGAGCACGCCACCAGGTTTCCCATGAAGAAACATGAAACCAAACAAAAATAACAACAATAACATCAATAATTACAAGAACAGTACTATTATTAATTTCAATTATTAAACTGCTCAAAAATCTGACAATAAAAAGAAAACCAAATTCTCGATAATCATGAACATATTTGTACCAGCGACTTCATAAACATATTTCGCGGAGTTCACGAAAAAAGAAAACCTGAATGACACCATGCTCAGAACGTGACAGAGATTTCGCAGTGAGAGCTGAAACCCATTCCATTTGATTACAAGCTCAGAACGTGACGACCTTCACGCACTATCATGCCGAGACGCATATATAGGTGTCGAAGCCTCATTGCCCCAAACAACCATTTCAGTCTTCACTCTTCCGTTGTTGCCAACAATGGGGTTCGTCGCACAAGCAGGTAAGTCACTTCACTGTTTCACATGCTACTCAGGGATAATTGGCAAAAACGACTTCAGTCAGAGGATGCCATTTAAGTGAAAATACTCCTGAAAGATATGTAATTCTTTCAGGAGAAACTATTCCCTTTTCCGCATGTTATATACAAGAAATACGTTCGAATATTACCCGTTGTTCTCCCACAGGTGCTCTGTTCTTGACAGCGGTGCTGCTGCATAGCTTGAGCATGGGCCAAGGGGAGGCGGGTCGCTCTTATCAGACGATCAGGCCTGGTAGCCGGCCCTGCGGTCAGTTCTGCCCCGCAGTCGTCGAGCCCGTGTGTGCGGTGGGACGGCACACCCCGCCCACAACGTTTTCCAATGAATGCTTCGCTGCGATCTACGCGTGCGAAAAACGCGAAGGTTCGTAACCTTATGATATACATCTTCAAACACCAACGCATTGAACAGAAATCGTTGAATACAGCCCGTACTGAATGGAACACATTGAACGATAGGCGTTATTTCATTTTATACTTTTTTCTGGAACTTGAACCAAATAAAAAGATTTCTGTTCTAGTTCCGGTTCTAAAATAACTTCGAAATTTGGAGTAACATGTTACCTATAATCAGAACGGATTCGAGAACTGGCTTACATTGTAAACAAAATATATATTATTGTGTAAAACAGATAATTTGTTTTCATTTGTTCATTTTAATTTATTGTTACACCCTAACCACACTGTAGTGGTCGGTAACGTCCACACGTATGTTTTTTCGGTACTCACTTGCAAATTATTATATAAAATTTAAGGAAACTCTTCACTACAAAATATTTCATTTTTCTTTCTGAAACAAAATCGAACCCAACCAAAAATGACTGGTTACGTAAAATTGAAAAAGAATAATCCTTTTAACCGAAATCCTAACGTCATTCGAAACATGTCCAACTTTTTTCGTTCGCCGACACTGATGAGGGAGTCTCAGTCGGTATACGTCTATATCAGGCCAACAACTACAGCATCCTAGCCATGTACGCTTGTATGTGTATATGTAGTGTCCGAAGCAGACTCACAGAAACATCATAAGGGAACAATTAACATTTCGAGAACTATTTAAGCTGTTTCATCGTTCGTTTTTTAGATCACCACTTCTCCACTTAATTCCACATAATTCACAATTTGCTAACACATCACACTAATGACTTTCCCGTCCCAGTCTCTGAAGATCTTGGGCAATCCCAAAACCCCCAGTGCACGGGAAATATTGACTAAAGGTTAAGAACTCGTGAATTCAAATCAATTGCAGTTCCTGACTGTCTGTAAACGTAAAATTATCAAGTAATACTTACGTATCACAATAGACAAAAGAAGCAAGAGATATTTATGATTTTAAACTGTAATTAAGTGCAAAAAGTCTCCTATAAATTTTATCCTTTTTTACATCACAGCATCGAGATGCTTTTTAATGCCATGACTACGTAATAAAATAGCACAAGAGGTCAAAAACAATGAATTAAAAATCATTATAATTGTATGAATAATTTTCGTCTTTGTTCCAGTTCTTTGGGTGATTCGCAACGGTCCATGTCCCTGCAAAAGCCATGTTCGTCTCCTCCATCATTGAATAACTTCTTCGTCGAACATTAATATATACCTCCATGAGATATAGCTGTGAAGAAGCCCTACTATTTCAGGGAGTATTATATAACTCGGTGCATGACACTGACATTGACAATAAAATATTCTTAAATAAAATGTCTTCTCATTTTCCATAATCATCAACACCAATGTCATAAAATCTTGATGCATAACTATCCTTAAAACCCCTATTTTCTCAATGATCGTTTCCTACATTTATTCCTCCACAATTATAGTTCCACACAATTACTTGTGATTTTATGACCCATAAAAATTCAATGATCAACATAGCACCTTTTATCATTTAGTAACAGCGACGTAGATTTTTTATGATTTAGCAATAGTTGTCAACCCGATTGGATGACACCAGAACAGATCATCAACTGTTCTGGTGTCATCCAATCGAAAGCTTACATATCTCTATGGTGACGTTCAACCTTTCCTTTGAATGATTTACGTCAGAGTCGGCTCTAAATAAATCCAAGTATAGGAACGAAACTTGGGAGGCGAGAATTCCATAGGCTACCGCGAACTCTACAGGAAAGAGAGACCATACGCCACACTTTTGTGGAGGATGAGCGTGGCGAGAGACTGAAGACTGCTGGGTAAACGCAAGAATTACGAGACTGAAGAGACCTCAAACTTAAGTGTTACAATCCTCGCACTTTTATGAAAGCGGAAGACGACTTCTGAGTCTATCCCATGGAACTATTTCTTTACATTAGAATAATCTTTGAAGAAAAATTCGATGTAATACAGTAAGAAAGTTAGGATGATTGTAAGATAAAACGTGTCCCACGCCCCTTGCTATTACTGAAAAACTGTTCCTGTTACACTGTATGTATGAAACGTAATTTTATTTGAGAAATGTTCCCACCCATGCATTATTATTTTTCAAATTGTTAGAACGGAATTGATTTTCACGCTAGACAAGAGAAACGCAATAAAATAATCAGATTTACTTCCCAGTTTAAAAAAAATTGGAAGTATATAAGAACACAAAAATGCAACAAACACACGCAACATAAAAACACATCTTTCATGGAAACGTAGTAAGATAAAGAGTTGAAATTAATTTATAGAGATAAAATTCATGCCAGTATCTCTTAATTCAAATTTTAAAGATGTTTGCGTGGTTACACATAGAAATTACTTTTTCATGAAACACAAGATTATAAGAAATGATTTTCAGGTAACTTTACATAGAAAATAATGGCTCAAAGCTTTCTATAATACGAAAATCTATAGTTATGTCCAAAACAATTATAAATAATTTACGAAGAACATGCCACCGGTTTCCACCAAGAAAAATGAAAGAATGCAAAAATAACAATTGGTGATGAAATTAACATTGATAACTACAAGGAAAGTACTATATGTTATTTCATCTATTAAACTGCTCGATGAAACTGAAAATACAAAGAAAACAAAATTCTGGGAAAACCTGAATATATTTCTATACACGATTTCATATACAGATTCTCGTAGAGTACAAGAAAACAAAGGAAAAACTAAAAGTCACCAAGTTCAGAACATGTTGGAGATTTCACCTAACATGTACCTGCTCCATGTACTTTCAAGCTCAGAACGTGACGGCCTTCACGCCCTATCATTCGAGGCGTATAAATGTGTCGAGGCGAACCAAAGGCATGCACTTTGCCCGAAACAACCATAACAGACTTCACTCTTTCGCTGCTGCCAAACATGGGGTTCGACACACAAGCAGGTAAGTCACTGCACTGTATCACTTGCTTCACAGGTTCAGGGCAAATACAACTTCAGTGAAAAAACTCCTGAAAGATGTCATTCATTCAGGGGAATATATATCCTTTTCCAGCATGTTATATACACGAAATTTAGTACGAATATTACCCGTTGTTCTCCGACAGGTGCTCTGTTCTTGACAGCGGTGCTGCTGCATACCGTGAGCATGGGCCAAGGGAAGGTGGTTCGCTCTCGCGACTTGGACGTGATAAAGCCTGGTAATCGGCCCTGCCCGGAGTTCTGCCCCGAAATCTACCAGCCCGTGTGCGTGGTGGGACGACACACGCCGCCCAGAACGATTCCCAACCGATGCTTCGCTGCGATTTACGCGTGCGACGAACGCGAAGGTATGTACATTTTAGGTATTACAGGCTTACTTGTGATTCTAAATTGTAATTAAGTGCAAAAACATATGCGATAAATTTTAACTTTTTTTACACTACAGCGTAGTGATGCATTGTAAGAATGCAGTGACTGCGTAATAAAATAGCACAACAGGAAAAAAGAAGTATTAAAAACCCATGAAAAGTATATGACTAATTTTCGTCTTTGTTCCAGTTCTTTGGGTGATTCGCGACGGACCATGCCCCTGCAAAAGCCACGTTCGTCTCATCCATCACTGAATAACTTCTTCGTCGAACAATAATATATCACTCCATGAGATATAGCCAAAGAAGCAGCCCTATAATTTCAGGAAGTATTCTACAACACCGTGCATGACTCTGGCATTGAGAATAAAATATTCTTAAATAAAATGTAATCGTTTTACATCATAATAAAAAACAAAAGGACATAAACGTATTGATCCATAACTATCCGTGAAATTTCATTTTCTCAATGATTTTTTCCTACATTTATTCCTTCATAATTATGGTTCCAAAGAATTATCTTTCTTAGAATTTAATCTTACGACTGCTAAAACTGAATTATCAATCTCGCACTTTTTATGATTTTGTAACAGCGATGTTACTGTAGAACATGGTTAACATCTGAAAAAGTTCAATCTAACAGTCAGTTCTTCTCCAAAATGGAATATTAAACAACGAGTGAGAACATTTTTTTTCTTCGAAGAATGCGTGTTGATTACGTCTGTCAAATGTTTTTGAACCATACCCTTTTCAAACCCATCCATATTTGTTTTCTTCCAATACTTCAAAAACATAACTTACTTACCTAAATTAGATACACTCAGACTAGAAGTCACTGTTTACAAATATCGGGCGAAGCTGAGTACTAAATACTGAGCAGTGAGGCGAGAATATCAAGGGCCACCGGAAGCCTTCGTATAGAGAGGGACCCTACGCGACACTTTTGTAGAGGTTGAGCGAGGCCACAGATTGAAGACTGCTGACTCAACAGTGCGACTGAGAGAACGCATGAAGTAGGGTGACAAAGAACACATAAACAATTTTTCAGTTCTCACACTTTAGTGTAAGCGGGAGAAGATACACACGACTTCTGAATCATTCCCATGAAACTATTTCTTCACATCAGAATTATTTTGAGAGACAATTCGGTGTGGTACTGTAAGATAGTTCGTTGAAAACGTTCAGTTGATTGTAGAAGAAGCCTGACCTACACTTCTTGCCAACTCTGAAAAACGGTTCCTGGTACACTGTAAGTATGAAACGTAATATTTCAGTCAATTTTCAACGAAAACGTCGATGTAAATTGCACCGTATCAAACAAGCCTATGCCCCCGCTCACGCCTTATTTTTTTCCAAATTGTAACAATGATTTAAATTGGATAATAAAGCTACACAAGTGAAACTCAGTAAAATAATAAGATCAGGTTTAAACAATAGGAAGTACCATATATGAAAACATACAATTGGGCGACACGCACGTCTTATAAACGTGCATCTTTCATGGAAACGTATAAAGATGAAATAGTTAAAATTTATTTATACAAATACAGCCAATAACAATATTAAAATTTTTAACAAAATATGCCCAGTGTATTTCAAAAATTAAATCGTACTCTACTATTTTGATTTATATCACGCAAATATTTCATTAAGATACACCATAAACTGTGTTTTAATAACTAATCACTAAAGAGGTCATTAACATAATTACATTTTAATCACTGCAAATCTCAGAACTCTGTGTTCAATACAAGCTACAAAAATACACTTTCAGACGTTAAACAAACACACACAAACAAACAACACGTTGGACTCGAAAGACTTTAGACGACGACGATAGTGATGACTCACGTAGCTAGGGAGTTTCTGCACTCTCGAACGTTCAAACCATCAAAGCCCTATCGATCTTCTGCGCATACGCATTTTGTGTTTTGCACCACTTTTGTGCACTTGCATATGACCAGAAGATCGAGATTGCAGTTAATCGCTGTCCACTACGGCGTGCACAAGCTCACTACTGTCTTTGCGCATCTGCGCATGCGCACAAGATGGAGATTCCAGTCGATTGCCGCCCGCTAAGGCGTGCAAACAACTCCCTGCTGCTAAGGCCCGAGCACGCGCCGCGCCCAGGGGGCACGACCTTGCCGCGGGCACGCGCTGGCGACAACGCACGCGTGTCCGGTGCACGCCCTTACGCCGGCACGGCAGGCACAGTTTATCGGCGACGTGCGTAAATTAAGTTGCGCCTCGCAGAGCACAGCCTTCTCGAAGACGAAGATCGGCACGCGTAAGAAGACATTCAAAACGTTCGTCAGCTTTTAGTTGGAGGAGGAGTTGCTTCAACTCTAATTTTTTTAAAAAAGAGGATGCGGCCTGATGTAATAGGACGTTCACTCACTACTTGTTTTTGTATGACTAGTTTTGTTGTAAATTAATTTAAAATTTACTTTCGTAACAAATCATGTTTAGAAATTTTACCTCATAGGCTTTCTATAAATTTGTAGTGTTCGTAATGGAAATGCATTTTCAAGAAAAAAAAAGTGAATTGTGATTCTGTATTGCAGAATATTGTAATTGTAGGAAGACAAGAAATATTACTCTTTGCAATTCTCTGATATTCAGAGAACAACGAAAATCGAACGTGGGAAATTATAATTCCTACACTTTCCCTTATCCGAGAAAACAAAAATTGGAGCATTTTCGATGAAATTTTGAAAATTTCGTTGACTCATGGAAAATACCTTCCAAAAACAAATATTCGTTTAAATTTGCAGGGCCTCGAGTTCGGCCAGATCGAAGGGAAATACTTTAATATTATATTACATGATAATTTCGCAGAAAATACTATAAACAGCATACACGCTAGTGATATCCACAGGGGGTCGGTCGGACAGAGACTAGGCATTTCGGAGCAAATCAGTTTTCGGGTATCGAGGACCCACAAGGAGTGAAATCAGACTACACAATCTATTAGACGAAGACATTTACTACATTTAGATAAAAAATTATCCATTTTTTCGGCATCGAGGACACAAAATAAAACTTCAGTCCAAAATGGCCATTTCTCGCTGCGGCATTACATTATCTCCACTATGTCAGTAGAAGGCGAGAAAGAAAAAATTATCAGCACGATTTATACGCTACATGAAATAATTATAGACGTTGTCATTGCCAACAATAGTATTTAATATAAGAGCAGCTTTCGATGGCTTAGCCATCATCATCAGTTGTGTGCTGGATGGAAGCCACAAAACGACTACTATTGTTGTACTATGATTAAATACTATTGTTGGCAATGACAACGTCTATAATTATTTCATGAAAAATGCCAACGATAACGCACCACAACACCTATATATATACGCTACATTTACTTACATATTACATTCCCTCCTACATTCCCATACATACATTCGAAGTGGACCAGTACCATCGGAGAAAGCTTTTATCTCCCGACCGGACGCTCTGCCGGCGGCGGGGGTAAGGACGAGGAGACAATGACGAGACATAACATTATAACCAGATAATCGGTCTTCGAGCGACAACCTCAAACACGTCGCGAATCTCTGAAAGCGAAATAAGACGCTGATTTCGCAGTGTGTGGCCTCGGTATCATCACGCACAGACACAATCGCGCGTATATAGGCGGAGTGGTCAGCCCACACACATTCACTTTGTCACAGACGTCCACCAGAGGCTTCACTCCTCAGGGGCAGAGAAAGATGGCTTCCATTGCCGTACAAGCAGGTAAGCCACTCCTTTGCATCACGTGATATTTCGCAACTATCAACAAACGCGACTTTGAACGGAGGTTAATGTGAGTAGAAAAGTCTCTGGAAGTAATTCATCATGGGGAGACGAGGTTACGTTTTACATTTTTCGGGCAGTAGTTTCGGGCATTTTTCGGGCAGTTTTCTTTAATTACACCGCCCAATAATCATGTAGTCATTGTTGAAAAAGGAAGTTGGCTGACGTCTTTTTAGCCCACTCCGGTTAATGTTCCGTTAAATGTTCCCGTTTTGAGAAAAAAATAGATTTATTTTCTGCTGCCGGAGACTCAATTCAAATATTCTGCGCTACTTTTGCCGAGACACGTGCTGCGTTCAAGGGTAGAATAGAGGCGAGACGTCAACGAGAAGTCTCGGCGTTAAGGCGTCGTCATCTTGGTCGGACCATATCCCTTTTAAAACACTCAATGCAGCATGATGCAATGCAGCGCACAGTCTTCGAATTACAAGACCCGAAGTAAAACAAAGACAATTTTCTCACAAAAGGAACATTTTCGTTGGGAAACTTATTTCAACAAAACAAAAACAAACTACCGCGGCTGGAGTCAATAGATACTTAGTAGTCAGGGGCAGTGGCGGAAGCAAGGGGGAGGGGAGAGGGATGGAGGCCATGCCCCCTCAAAGACCTGGATTTCGTTTATTACCACCCATTATTTGGCAAAATTGATATAAAAATGTACATAAAAATTATGTAATGATTTAAAAAATAATATTATATAGTGTCATCTATACACATTACACTACAAAAATAATACACAATAAAATAACAAATGTATTCATTATTTAAAATCTCTGATGGCCACCTTCAAAATGATCGGCTGGATCCGCCCCTGGTCCGCGAGATGCCGCGCCCTATCAAGCTGTCAAGTTTTCGATCGACATACTACGATCTTCAAGACGAAACGAACTCTTACAGGTCCATTCAGGAACAATTCTACCAATGAGTCGATTAACAGGTGTCCAAGTGTTCAACGTTAGACAACGCCCATCATGCCCGTTCTTTCCCCTACAGGCGTTCTGCTCGTGATGGCGGTGCTCCTGCACAGCTCGCGCCCGGCGCACGCGGAAGTGGTGGAGTCGCACCACATCGACGTGATCCTGCCCAACCAACGGCCCTGCCCAAAGTTCTGCCCCGAAATCTACCAGCCCGTGTGCGTAGCCGGATGCCGCACGCCGCTCACCACGTTCCCCAACCGCTGCGTCGCGGGCATCCACGCCTGCGAGAAATGCGAAGGTCAGTAGTCGCTACATCAGGAGGTCCGAACTGGGTCTGTTTCGAACCCCTAGGGGCCGATCATTCTTTAAAAGGGTGGTGTATGATGATCTAGGGGTCGATGGTGGGGTCTAGAGGCGAGGATGAACCGGCGAATGATCGGTATAATCTGGATGAATACCATTGATTGCAAACAAATATGAATGACGATCATTTGTTTTATGCTATTTATTATTTTCATGCTTCGTCTAATAATAATATACAACTTTGGACATCTTTTAGAATTAAACATTATTCACATTAACGAAAATTGAAATTGGTGCAATTAGAACCTGCAATTTTGCTTCTGAAAACTTGTTTAAATTTGTAAAATTAAACACCCCTTATAATTACAAAACAAACATTTAATAATTTTCTCCAAAACTATTGTTAATTTTTTGTGTAATCTTCTTTCAGACATTTGTCATTATAGTTTTGTATCATTTTTACGTTTTAAACTATTATCAATTTACTATTAGCAAAACGTAACGGGAAATATGAAGCAAACAGTTCTTTTAAATGGGGTCAATGAGAGGAAAAGGTCGAGATTTCCTTCTTTACTTGAACATGCCGTCTATTAAAGACCTGTGTGGGGGTTCGAACTGTTATCTCCGCTCGTCGCAGAAACGTCCCATATTCATTATTTCAGTAGTGATTAAACAACATTTCAACTTCCCCACCTAATTTAACAAGAAATTAAATGGGATACGTTCGAGTGGGAAATCAAAATGCAACTGTAGATCAATAAGCATAATAAAATAACAAATCGTTGCATATAGTACGAATTAAAACACAGCACAAACAGTGTGTAAAGAATTTTCGACGATGTTTCAGTTCTCTGGGTGATCCACAAGGGCCCCTGCCGCTGCAAACGCCGGAACCCGTTCTACCCTAAGAGCGAAGACATCTTTGAATAATTTCATCAATGAACTTGAAAGTAGTATATCATGCAATGAAAAAACATTATTGAAATGAGCACAATAAAATAATGTGCCATGTCGCTGATACCGAGAATAAAACCTTCTGAAAGGAAGTCTTGTTCTTCTTCAACTTCAAACATAATCTTGATCTTTATCAACATCAATCCCATTCTAAACTATTGCTTCTTACTTCACTCAGAATCTTCCTCAACGCCCTTATCATCTTTACCTTAATTACTATTATTTTCCCTTAGGAATGTAGTTCCACAGGAAATTGAGAATTCTTTATTTTAACATTCTCTGTACTGTTTGTTCAATTGAAAGAACATCTGGAGAGTTTTTCCATATAATGTGAATGATGCTATTCGCAATAATTAAATTACAAGTTCTTGAACTAGAATTAAATCTCATCACAAAATAGCAATATCAAAGTAAATAGTAATACTAATTAATTAACATTATCAAAGCTTCGGAAATGGAAATATGACTGTTAGCATTTGATGTTATGATCTCTTATTTACCTCCGTCAATATCATTATAACGAATGGTAAAACATTAAATATTAATACTAAAAATCAAAACTTAAAAAACTATTATCAAATGACGAAAATCTTTAAAAACTTGAACAAATTATTGATAAAAATATTGGGTACGGACAAACACATAAAGGTTAAAATGGATAGAAATACGGCACCCATGCTAGCATACATTCAATCGAATTTTCATTTTATTTTCGCAAGAAAATGTAATTATAATTAATTAATTAGATTTGGTTTATTAAGTGAATAGCAATATTGCCAAAAATATATGATCAGCTATAAAGTATGAAAAATATGTTCGTGTTTTTACAACTGTCTGCGAGTATTACAAGATCATCGAAGCCACATCGCCAGCCTGCCTTCCACGCCGCGCACCACCGCCCAGGCGGGGAACGGGAAGCATCCGCGCGGAGCGAAGCTCACAGGTGCTGGCTTTGCGAGAACGGAGCACGGGAGGGGACAATCAGCGAACGCTGAGGAGAGGGGAGGGGTCGGAGGTAACGACGTGATAAAAGGCGCGGCTAAGCCGAACATAAGACGTTGCCTGCTCTACTTCTCGCGATATCCAGAGGCGAGCGAGCCCCCGTGCTGGGGGGGCGGATTCGTCAGTGTGGGTAGTGGTGGGGCGGGTTGTAAGGCATGGGGGAGGAAAAGGGGGGTAGGTCTCCGGATTTGGGTTCGAGCATTTTTACAGCGTAATAACAGTTTTACGCGATATATGAAGACGATCCGCCTTCCTAAGAATAGGCAATGCTCAATAATTTAACGTTAGCGTAAAGAAATTACTTTCGCCATAGACTCTCACAATACCATAAACATTGAATACGGAGCGGTAACTGCCCCATAACCGAGGTCTTTTGTCGGGGCGAGAGGTGCAGCAGCTCCTACGGGTCGGGATCCCCCCGACCCCCCTCTCCACGTAACAAGCGCGAAACGGCACACGCGCGGATTAAAAGCAAACGTAAAGACGAGAGAGAGGCCGCTGCGGCTGTTGCAGCCGGAGGTACTCAACCGGCGGCAAGCGCAGCTGTTCGCCGGATCGAAACCCGGGCTCACCTGCAACAAAGAGAAACAAGCGGATTGAGCACTTTGTTCGTCGCTGGAACTGGTTTTACGCGCGAGGCGTAATTAAACATGATCGGCACACGCTGGGGCGCATTCATTGCTTGGAAATCAAAGCGTTGCTGAGGCGATTGGCAATGATCTAATAAGCATAAAATTAAAAGTTTTTTGTCGGCAGTTTAACCGACTACGGGGTATTGAGCGAAATATGGTAAATTCGCCGTGTAATTGCGCGATAAGCAAATTTGCACAGCACAGCATGTAAATTCAGACGTTCAAATCCTCAGCAACACTTCCATTGTGTTCCATTATCCACAGATATTAAATACAGCAATCCGATTGCAAACAAAATTACAGCAAGATTATGCTTACCATCAATGCGATAAACCTCAAATATAATCTTACATGCGTAATTCCCATAATGTAATTTTAATGATCGGAATATAACAAATACTAATAAAATAAATGTGACGAACAGATTTAAGAAACAATGAAAAGTGATGGTAAAATGTTCACCTTCATTTAAGACAGAGCCATGGCAGAAACTTTTCATGGACACTGTAGTCATTGCACTCCTATAAATCAAACAAGTGTCAAAACTATATTACTCAGTCTTAATAATTCGTGTTTTTTTTTCTACGGATCCTGAGAACCAAGGTTAAAAAGTTCTGTTTGCTTCTGGTCAGTAAAGCGCAGCTTCACTCCCTCCGAAACTTCATTTGTAGGGAGGATGGTCCACAGCTCCGAAATAAATTATTATCAGTCCTGATTTAAATGCGACAAAAGCTTTGAGTATGATGTTTGTTCGACATACTCTGCTCATCCTACCTCTCCAGCGACAATGATAATCCCTATTCGACGGAAAAAGCATTCCGTACAAAAAACGACGTGTTTTCATACAACTCAGGCCCAAATTCATGATCAACTTGGAAGAAATACAGCAGTCTATAAGCAGTAAATGACTATTTTCAATGATGAGTCACTTATAGAAGTCAGAATTTTATAGACATGGCTTACGTATGCGGAATAAGCACTTGCTCAAATGATTGAAAACGTGGCAATGTGTTGGCAAACGTTGTATTGTGTTGCATACTTGAGGCCACAAACAGGTATACTTGTACTTTCATTGATAATAAATGCGAGCAACGAGCGTTGGTGACAAAATCTGAATCCAGAAATGTTTGATGAAAATAAAATAGTAACTTATTATTCAAGAAGAGAGCAAGTATTTATAAAGAGCTATAGAGGAGGTCGTGAACTCTTTCTCAATTGATATCTATTATTGTCTGTAACATTTCATATCATTTTATAATATTTGTTTTAATAAAATTCTATCGACGAAACGTTGTCACGTTAGATCACGTCGTATTTGCTTCCTGCATCGCCGCCCAGAGATTCCATAAAGATTACATTATAAGATTCAAAAAATTTCGTCGCCCTTGGAGGTCAGAGTAATAGTAGCAATACGGTATCATCCAAGATAGTTTTCAAACTTTCGAATAAACAAAAAATAAAATAAATACATCACATCCCACAATTACACTCGATGCCAGACGCCATCTAACCCGACGCTGCATTGTGCACATTGTGTACAGGAGCAGAGGGAAATCCGATCCCCGCGCTGGCAGTGCTCCCTTCCGGAACAAGGCGGAGTGCGCGCCCAAGGGGAAGCCCCGCTGGTTTAAACGGCGTCATTTGTCCCCCACGCCCGACGGCGCGCGCCGCGCGGCTGACGAACTCCGCTCCTGTGACGCGTCACGCACCGCGCCCGCCTCTCGCCACCGCCAGGATTGACCGACGGGGGCACAGGCGAAGAGAAGAGGTGAGGTGAGGTGAGGTGAGGTGAGGGGGATAAAAGGGCTCGAGAAGTTAGGAAAGTGAGGGTTGGGGGAAGTGGAAATTATAAGGAGGTATGACTGGGTTTTGATAACCATTTGTGAGGGAAATTCATGACAGGGGAAGGAATGAGATAGCGTGGGATGAGAACTGAATGGCGTAGGGTTGACATGGAATGATGAGGATGGTATGGCAATTGGGAAGACATGGCAATGGGGATAGACATGTTGAGGAAAGTAAGGAATGGGGAACGCATTGGGGTGGGAAAGGCGAGGAGTGGGAAAGGCTTGGGAAGAGAAAGGTGCGGGATGGGAAGGCGTGGGATAGGAAATGCTGAAGGAAGGAAAGGAGAGGGATGGGAAAGGCGTTCGGTGGGAAGACATGCAGAAGATGTATTGGGAAAGAAAAGGTGGGGAAGAAAGTAAGAGATCGCCAGGAGGGGAAGGTGTCAGAGGGCAGAGAAATGAAGCAAACAAAATGGAAAGATAAGCGATTAGAGGACGGAGGAGCGGTAGCGGAGAAGACCGACAGGGGTAGAAAGCAGGCGCGAAAGAAGCGGGAGTGTGGACAGAGGACTGAGGACGGAGGGGTGACGGGCACCGCAACGGGAGCGGGCACATGCACGGGCGGCGCGGGCCGCGGCGAGAGCCAACAGTGCGCGAACTCGTGTAAACAGCACAGTTTTACACGGGCGCCCGTGTCGCCAAGAGGGAAGAGGGGGAGGGGCGGCGGCCGGGTGGGGGAACCGGCGGCGTCGTGGCGCGGGAAAGAGACCCAAAAACACGCGTCCGGAAAGTTTACACGGGTGACGGGGCGGGGGGGGGGGACTCCTGGTGGACGATGTCGCACTGCAACTTGCAGCGGAACACGTTTCGCCGGGCAATGGCCTGCGACAGGGTCGTGGGTCGGTGTTCGGTGGCGTCACCGACGCTTGCCGGCCAGGGGACACGGCAGAAAGGACCAACTCCAGGGGCAGCTTAACATCGGCGCGCCAAGGCTAGCGTTTCGGAGTGAAGTACGAGTACTCGTGCGACGATTGCTCTGCCATTGCTATACATAAACTAGAAAATGATCTCGTAAACAGCATTCCTTAGCTACTGCAAATATTAAAGGATGAAATGTTATTCACCTCGATTTATTTCGGAAATGACCGCGAACAAGTGAAAGATTATCCTACCCCGAGTGCTTACTTCAGACGCAAACTTTAAACATCAGAATATTCTATCAAAAGACATATCCGAATGACAAATCAATGTTAAAGGAAGTGTTGAGAATAGATCAAACTGCCCTCTCATTATTTCATTTGAGTACGCAAGTAAGCATGTTTCGATTGCAGTGCTGCGCCTTGTTTAGGCTTAACGCCGTTCACTCGCAGTGAATTCCACGGCTCAAGAGTAAATTTTCATGTGGGTCACTACCCTCACCGAAAGAGACCCAAAAACAGGGATCAGGGGCCGGCGGCACCTGTCCCCTGCTGAGTGACACACACCGCTGCATCATTCAGGGGACACGGCCCATCGGGGCTTGGAACAAGGCTCTGGTTGTTTCGGGTCAGCATGTAGCATTATAAAACGGCGTCACTCGATTTTCAATCAAGACGTACGTACATGACAATTCCCCACGACATCGACAATCAATAATTTACGTCGCTCATCAAATAGCAGAAATGCGCACTGGATTGACGGTGCCCCGTTCACGAGATATATTATAGGTGTGATCAAAATGAGGGGAAACAAACTTCCATAAGGAGGTCTAGCCTGTCCGAAAAAAACAACATAAAACAGGGCCCATGGATTGGAGAAATTGTGCTTATTGCAGAGAGCTTGACACGGTCATCAGGGTTTGAGGGCCGTCGGGTCCCGTTACAACAGTCCAAGAAGCATACATTCTAAGTTCTCCTACAGTGCAATCATTCTCCAAGGCCTGGCACTTCTTTTGATAAATATTTATACGTTTAAAATTCTGAAATAGTTCTACCAAGTTCTACAAAAGCATTGGTGGTAACAAAATAGAAAAATTATATCTACGAGACAATGGGTTAGCTTCGCCGAAATGAATCCCCCAAACGGGACTAGCCAGTGGCTCCACAGCACCCGTCCTCCCCGCTGGATGACACACGGCGTTGAATCATGCAAGCGACACAGACCGTCCGCGCTTAAGGCGAGAATGTTACACATCGCCTTGGGCCATAAAGTATCTCAAACAAGTCTGTTAGTACGTTTGCATGCCAAATGACGATATTATTCCATTGCGACGTATCTCCATGAAATGCCAATTTTCAAAAGGGAAAAGCTTAAAATTACGTCTCTTAGTTGAAATTATGGAATCCGGACACCATTTACCACAGGAGAAACGCCGTTTCTAAACAGCGTATTTCGCTGCACTATGAAAACTCGTCTCAAGAATATATTGATACGTGAAACTAGAAAACGAGCTGACATGTGCATACAACGCTTTGAAAACAAGCTCTGTAATGTCTCACGTTCATAAGCCTAAATAACCAAACAGAAAACGTGGAATGGAATGTCAACAACGTCCTCCCAGGTCCACTGGCAATGTATCCGTTACTCGAGACAGGAAATCCGCGTACGGGACCAGCCCCACCGAGAAGACCCGAAACAGCGATCGGGGCCGGCCAGTGGTACCCGCGCACCTGTCTCACCGCTGAGTGACACACGACGCTGCATCTTGCAGGCGACACGGCCCATCGGGGGAGGGACGGTCGGGCCCCGTCGCGTGGCTACGAGAACTCTGTCTGAGCGAGCAGAGTGATTCAAGCGGGTGATTTGCAATTCCTGAGCGACGGGACGGGACGGGCGTCTTCCGGCCACGCCGACGGGGCACCGGGAGTCGATCGCTTCTGATCTGCAGGCTGTCTGTCCGGCGAGTGACACTGTGCAAGTGGCCGGCTGCCGAAGAGAGAGGTCAGGCAGGCGACAGGAACTCGGCTGCGAAATTCCTCACCTACAGTCGTCGCGCGCGTGAAATAATGATGGTACAACTTGCGCCAGCCGTTTAGAGGCATTGTAGCAGTAGTACCAGCGCGAGGGACCCATTGACTGACGATACTGCGAAACAAATAGAACTCTTTATACGACGGACGATCCAATAAAACTGAGACATCATAACTTCTCGATAAATTCGCGTCCTACCAAAATAATTCTTCAAATATAAACTTAGTATTGTCGAAGAAAACAAGTCCCTGTGATACAACAAATATGTACCCATCATCTGGAAGACGAGAGTAAAGAAAAACGGTAAGTAAAGAGAAACGGATCCGGGCGGACTTGGAAACGCACGCGCGCTCGTCCGACGGGCGTTCGGTTCCGTACAAAGTACATTAAGATTCCTGTACATTAATATATTAATCTACATTTCATTCAATGGCATTTCCGACTGTGTATTAGGGGAAGATATTTAGGCTACTACATTTACATGCAAAAAATATCTATTTGCGCATGTCAATCATTAATAGATGCCACACGGCTTCACAAGCGAGCAAATCCGTCCGCCGAGATCGGGGCGAACTTGGGAACGGCGGGCGGGAGGACGGGCAGGCGGGCGTCTGGGAGGACGAGCGGGCGGGCGTCTGGGAGGACGTGGCGGGAGGGAACGGGGGCGGTGCGTTCGGTTCCATGTCGCGCCCGGCTGCCCGGCGCGAGGCCGCCGCGGCGCGCCGCCCGCCGCTCGTTAGCGCGTCCGCTATCTCGGCGCGTTGCGTCTAATTGCAGCGCGCGCCGCCCATTTGCATGCGGCATACAAATCATCGCATTGTACATCTCGTTGTCCTCGCCGCGGCCGACGACTGCGCGCCCGCCGCCGCGGCGAAGAAAGAAAGACAAGAAGAATGAAAATCGGGCAGCATCGCAAGTTGATAAAATGCAGGGAATGGGATTTATCGTGTACGGGAGTGTTTTAATCCGTCCGAATTATCGTTACGATCTGGGTGATGTTTGTGCATTCTTTGCGCCGCTTCCATCAGATAACTGAGGTAATTTTGTTCATGAAGGCCTTCTGCTTTCGCTCAAAGTGTGAGTGTGCTATCTGACCTAATCCGCGCCATCATAATTGACGCCACCTGACGCCTATTGGTTGAGGGGTCAATCGCCAGGGTGTCAGACTGGGGATGGTGACTTAACGCAGAATGAAGGATGGTAGGTCATCGGTGGTCCGGAATTCAGGTATGAGAATTCATAGTTTGGTGTTTTAATCCGCTGGAGTTATCGTCGCGTTCTGTGATGCTGGTAGACTCACTACTCGTCCATTAAATAATTACGGGGGATTTCGTTTCACAAATTCCTCACTTTCTTTTTTCTACAAATGAACTTCACGTATTAAACCAGAAAGTAATAGGTTATTCCAGTAATATGTGCTTGCGTAGGGAATGGTAGTCACTTACGGCACTGATGTACATTAATGGAAATTTCATTTTATCGAGTTATTAATTATTTTTAAAAAACTCTACTTTGCTTCACAAATTCTGTATTTATCTGTTATTAGCGCCTCGCGTGTGTATGATGAAACCTTCATAATTATTAGCATCGTCATTTAATCAGAGTATTTATTCAGATTAGTGTCTTCATCAGATGGAAAAGTAATGTCGAAAATGATGAGAAATGGAGAATACAAAAGAAAATAAATGTTCGAGTATTTAAGTGGGTTATGTTTCTATTCATAACATTGCATTTTGTAATCAACTAACAACTCGACGTGCGTTGCAGAAGGAGGCTTCGAAGAACAACCGTATCATATGGCCAGTGGAGACAAGTATCGAACAGGAAACTTCGGCTACTCTGTCTTTCCCTACTCCTGATGTCGAAATTCCGCCATTCAAACCTACGAAGGCTCTACAAATTACAGAATTTTAATGACACGCGGAACACATCCGATTTCAAGACATGTGTAACGCATCCGATTCAAAGTAAGGCAAAACAGCTGGGATATCCACATTAAAAACT